GGAATATGTATGTATGTATGTATGTATGTATGTATGTATCTGTCTGTCTGTCTATCCATCTCCATCTAGCTATATTCACCAAAGGATTTTGCCAGTATCACAGATGTCCTCCTTAAGGTCCAAACAAAAGAAGGATTATTGTTGATAAGGCTGCTCAGGACTAGATAGCATTTTCTTCTAACAGTGCCACTGTATTTTTAATTGTGTCATGTTTATCTTTGGTTTATTACTAGTAACCTTTTGGTGTTTTTCTTTTGTTGCTGTGGAAAAACTAGCAGTAGGATTTTGGGACCACAGATTTAGATCTAAAAGGAACCTTGTAGGAGGCCATCTGTATTAGAGTGGGAAATTTTTATTGAGTGACCTTCAAGGGAGAAGTTGTTGAGTGAGTGTGGTAAAGAGAGAGACTGGAAGTGCCTGTGGGGGAGCAAGAAGTATTCCAGCTTCCCCTCCAGTACATTAGGGAGAGATAAGGTACAGCTAGTGATTGAGAGAATGACTGGAGAGGAAATATCATCATAGGGAAGACAAATTTCAGTGAAGGCTAGTAGGTGGAAGGAGTTTGAAAGTAAAGGGTCCAGGATAAATGAAAATTTTTTCACTGTGGCATGGGAATTGCATAGAGCACAGTGGAAGTGATGTTTAATAGAGGAGATAAAAATGTCAGTAATGAAGAGAAAGAAGAAGGAGCATAAGAGAAGGTGAAAAAGAAGATAAGAGATGAAGGAGAAGAAATTGAAATAGATGGGAAGAAAGAAGAAAAAGAGAGATCAGGGAAAAAAAATAGGTCTTTTATGGTATTTTACAGTTTTCAGGTAATTTCACTTTCATTATCACATTTGATCTTCATAGCAACCCGATGAATTGGTCTGAGTAAGTTTTATCACATTATATATATATAAGGTCATGGAAACTTGGAGAGATTAAATTATTTTCTCAAGATCATAGGCCCATTAACAGCAGTGTAGGGGTAATGGACTTGGTGTCAGAAGAGACTCTGAAGGGGCAGCTAGGTGGTGCAGTGGATAGAGCACCGGCCCTGGAGTCAGGAGGACCTGAGTTTAAATCCGACCTCAGACCAAATACTTGACACTTACTAGCTGTGTGACCCTGGGCAAGTCTCTTAACTCCAATTGCCTAACCAAAAAAAAAAAAGAGAGAGAGACTCTGAGTTTCAGTTCTACTTCTTATGCTTACTAACTATATCATAATCTCTGAGCCTCAGTTTCCTTATTTGCAAGATGGAAATAACAACTCTGTAGTAATGAGCTTCACATGGTTCTTTTGATGATCAAAGGAGATAATCTAACGTTTTTTGGTAAATTGTGAAGTATCACATAAATGTAAGCTATGATGATGATGTAGCAATACTGGCTGTCAACCCAGATCTCACTATACAGTGATGTCCATTATACAGTACTGCCTCCTGGGAGAAAAGTTAGGCTAGGAAGATTCAGAAGCCAAAAATCTTCTTGGTATTTGACTTCTCACTGGGTCACAATATAGATTTCTTTTCCTTTTTCCTTTTTTCTTTTTGTCTCATCTCTCCACGAGTACTCTTGACAACACAAGGAAGTGTGTGGAGCACACCAGCCAGCTATCAGTTATTACTCATTTCTGCTCCATGACATAGTTAATTAGAAGATGTCATATTTGGTCACTTTATGTTTTTTTTTTTACTTGATGCTAAACAATTGTTTTCATTAGAAAACATTTTTTCTTTTTTTGTTTTAAATTTACTCTCTTGTGTGTAAATGTAACCTTACTGGGTTAGTGTAATGTTTTCTGGGTCCAAGTATTATTTGAAATTGATTTTAACAGTTGTACAAATTAGTTCCTAACCCAGAACTTACTCCTGAGGAACGTTATTCTCATCTGTCTTCCCATTGGGTGACATTATGAGAACATTTCAACAACATATAGGGGAAGCAAAAATTGGCATAGTTAATTGTGTGTATAAATATCAACAACAGATTGGAAAGGATAAAGAAAAACCTACTATATGAAAGGTTAGAATGACTGCTCACCTGTACTGTTTTATATATGTACATACATAATGTAGATCACTCTATAAATTTCCATTGATTCTTTCTCTTCTAAATTATAATGTCAAATGTAAGTTGATGTTTTATCACAAGATAGTTATGGGTTGTTGCATTGGCACATTAATTACAATAATTGGGCAGTAAAGAAGCCATAGGAACAGATTATATGCTGTACGTTTTGATGAGGTTGTAGTTATGGCCTCTTATGGATGATAATAAAATCTTGTTAATTGATACCTCTGATGTGCTCTCTTGCTTCTCATTTCTACTTCTCAGGTTGGTTTATAAATCTTTTCAGGAACTATGTACCTAGATTTTACAAATGAATACTTTCTATAATCTTCTGTCATTACACTTGGAATTCGTTTGTTCGTTCAACAAATGCTTATTGAACACTTTCTATGTGTAAGGCACTGTGCTAGGCTCTGTGAGACACACAAAATCTATGTCAGTCATGGCCCCTGACTTTAAGGTGTATTATAGTCTGATAGTGGAGATCAGGCTTCTGCAGGAATCACCATAACATAAAGCAATGTGTAGTAATTGGGTACAAAGTACTACTGTTCAGGAGGAGAATGATCAAGAAAAGCTAAAGGGGAAGATAGTTTAGTGGTAGAAAGGCATGTTTGTTTTGTATGTATGAGATTCGTGGGTTAAATTCTCTTAGAGATTGCCAATTGTTGTATTCCAGAACAAACTGTTTTATGGCAAGGGACAGGATGACATAAAGAGAGCTTTGGGGGGTCAGCCAGTTGAACTTGGACAGTGGTGTGGACAGCTTACTTTGTTTCAAAGATGTTATTGGGGGAACTTTCTAAGAACCTAGAAATCAAAGTTACTGAAAGAAATACCCTGGGATCCTACCAAGGAAAGGGTCCGATTCACATAGAGAATTGTGGGCCTTGAGAATGAGAGGTCAACAGTCAGTTAGCCAGCAAGCAGTTATTAAGCACCAACAGTGTGCCTGCTTTTAAGTGCCTGCTGCACAGTTAGTACTGGGCTTAATGCTTTCAGCAGAACAATACATTCCCTGAGATGGATCAGTTATTGTTCAGTGAACTGGAGGATGATGGCTACTTTTAAATATACCCCACCCATAGTGTGGGCTGCCCTTCAAAGTGTCTTGGAATTGATTTTTTTTTGTCTAGTCACTGGGGTTAAGTGACTTGCCCAGGGTCACACAGCTAATAAGTGTCAAGTGTCTGAGGCTGGATTTGAACTCAGGTCTTCCTGACTCCAGGACCAGTGCTCTGTCCACTGTGCCACCTAGCTGCCCCTTTGGAATTGAATTTTGAGATAAACAGAAGTGGCTAGAGCTCTTAAGTAAATATGTTCTGTTTCTAGTCTTTTTTTAGAAAAGAAGATAAAACTTTAAAAAAAAATTGTTATTTAGCATCAGTTTTTTTTTACTTCTCATTCACTCCCTCCTTTATAATTTAAGCAAAACAAATCAACCCACTGGCCATAAGTGACCTCATAGGAGTCATTCTGCTCCTGAGACTACCATCTGATGGAAAGGAAATAGCACTAGATTTAGAGTCATAGGACCTGGGTTAAAATCCCACCTTTACCACATACCACTTGAGTGATCATGGACAAGTCACATCTTTCTGAATTTCAGTTTTCTTGACTGTAAAATAAGGAGTTTGGAGGAAGAGATTGTTACTTTAAGGTTCTGTGTAACTCTAAACTCCTTTTGTCATTACAATGGTCACAGTGTTGATGTCTTTCAGTATTGTTTTTCTTTACATTATTATGGTCTTAGGGTAAATTGGTCTCTTGATTCTGTTTTACTTCTTTATGCATCAATTCATAGAAATCTTTTCAGTTTTCTCCAAATTCTCCATATTCGTCGTTTCTTACAGTATAACATTATTCCATTACATTTGTAACACAGTCTGTTCAGCCATTTAATGATTGATGGGTAACATTTTTTCTTTTTCTTTCTACCACCAAAAGTGTTATTAATGAATATTTTGGCACATATGGGACCTTTCTGTCATGACACAACCATGGCAGAGGTCAAAGGCTCTATATGGTTTCATGATTTTTCTAGTATCATTGCAAATTGTTTTCTACAACAGTTGATTCAATTCATAGGCACCTGGATGCACCTTGGGTGGAGGGGGATGTCAATTTAATGGGTGTTCATTTTCCATCCATTTAACTTCATGATCTCAAGTAAAACCCTTTCTCTTTGTGTCTTGGGTTCTTTTTGTAAATTTGATACACTAATAATTGTTTTTGCCCTAGTGAATTAGTGAATGAAATATGTGTGACCAAGACATTCCCTTGAGTCAATGTTAAACTTTTTGAAAGGTGGTTATGGGTATACTTTTTTGTTGTTGTTGTTGCACTCTACTGCTTGAATAGTAGGTGATAAAATCCCATCGGTATTGGAAAAAGTCAGTACTCATTAGAAAGTGCCTAGTTTATAAGCAGGGAATGGCTTCAACTATGTATAAAACCTGATCCATTACATTTCACAGTGTCTCTAGTTTTAACATCTAATATTTATGTCTGTAGGAACTTGACAGGGAGCACAGTCCATGGGTAGGGATTTTAATCCAAGCTCCACCACTGACTGCCTTGACTGATAAGTAACTTTGGCAAATTACTTAACTTCTCTAAGACCCATTTTTCTTTTATGTAAAATTAAGGGGTTGGACCAGGAGTAGGGAACCTGTGGGCTTAAGGCCACATGAGACCTTCTAGGTCCTTAAGTGCGGCCTTTTAACTGAATCCGATTTAAGGACCTAGAAGGCCACATGTGGCCTTAAGGCCAGAAGTTCCCCACTGCTGGGTTGGACTATAGGACCTATAAGGTCCCTTCCAGCTTTAGAGGTATTATGACCCCTTTAGAGGTATTATGACCCCTTTCTTCTCCATAGTCAGTATGTTTGATTTTTTTTTCCTTGAAGCAGAATGAAACCTGTTTCTCTTATTGCATTGTAGATTGCTTCTAGAACTTCTAGAGCTTCTCTTTGACAAATTTAATGCTGTGGCTGCTGCTCACTCCGTGGTCTTGGGATATCTCCAGCAGACTGTTGTGCCTCCATCAACCCAGCATGAAGACATCAAGTTGTATGATATGGCAGATGTTTGGGTCAAGATACAAGGTGTCTTGCAGGTGAGGTTCTTTTCTAAAAGATATTGGGATAGAGTAGGATCTTAGAAAAGTATCACCTCCCAGATTTGATGACAAGAACAGGCTTAGAAGAGAATTTAATTATCAGGTGATCTGGTGCTGCCATGGACATCTACCAACTACCAAAGATCCCATGACCAGTTTTCTCACTGCATGTGAGTAGACTACTGGTTCACAAGTTTTCAAATGCTATATGATATCCAATTATTTCCCTGTCATGCCCTTTAATTCACAGAAGTTACTCACATTTCCAGATAATTTTGTAATTACTATGCTTGCTCATCTCATTGTTTTATGGACAATATGAGCTTGTGTGTAAGTTCCTTTGATAGAGTTGTAGAAGTATAAGTTATATAAGAATGATTTTAATTAATGAATTAGTGCATAACTGCTTCTTTTTTGCATTATGAACTATGTATTTAAGAAATGAATCTCAGTTAATGCATACTGGTCTTGCAAATGGGTATTGATGAGATATTATGTTCATAGCCAATTTTATTATAAAGTCTTTTGAATTATACTTTTCATTTTCCTAGTTCTCCATATAGTTCATTCCTTAGAAATTTATATTTCAAATTACACAGGACAAAATATGAACATGAAACCTAGGTGAAGAGCTGAAATTTTTCACAGCAGAATTTTATATATATATATATATATATATATATATGTATATATATGTATATATATATATATATGTATATATATATGTATATAAACTTATCTTTTTAAATTATGTGATATTGTCTGTTTTCTCACAGACCTTACCAGGAGTTACTAGTGGTTTAGAAAATCTTGCAGTTTTTGAATTTATTGGGAATAACTTGTTCATAGTAGTATTATCATGAATTATTTGATTAATGAAAAATAGACAGTAGGTTAGATGTGCAAAGTAAGTATGCTAAACATGAAATCAAATGCTATGGTTTGTTTTAAGTAGGATAAATTCTTTGATATTATAAAATGATTTGCTGTTCTTTTTAAAATTTCTTGTGCTTTTTTCCTTCCTTTCTTCTCTTCTTTTTCTCATTCGTCCTGCAACTTAGGCACAATTCCTTTAACCCAGATTTCATCTGTGTGTGTTGTTTGCTTACTAGCTCAGCCCTCCATGTCCAGTGTAATTCTGCTCACCAAATTCATGAAGTGTTTTGGGACAAGAGAGGTGATGTGTTAGCTTCCTAGTGGTTATCAGACTTAGCACTTTTCTTCAACTTCATCAGTTATTCTGAGCAATAGTAGATATTCAGTCTTTCTGTAAAGAAACATTGATTAAACATTGACTGCCTGTACAGTATAGAAAAAAAGAAGGTGATATGGTCAATGCCCTCAAATAATCAATTAGCAAGTATATTTTAAGCTCCCACTAGGTCCCAGGCACTGAGAATACAGGTACAAAGAAGGAAACAGTCCCTGTGTGCAGGTAGCTTCTATTCTAATGGAGAGGTAAAAAGTATATAAATAAATATACACAACATTAACCTAAAGTAAATAAAAATACAAGGTGTCCCAAAAGTCTTAGTTTAAGCTATTAAAGCTTAAAATTGCACTAAGACTTTTGGGATGCCCTATCTATGCAGTGTAGTTAGATACAAAGTAACTTAGGAGAGAAAGAACTAGCAGGTGGAAGAAGTCAAGAAAGATTCCATATAGCATACATCTGGAGCTACATCTTCAAGGAAGAGAAGAACTCTGTGAGGCAGAGAGGGAGTACATTCCAGGCATCGGGGATGGTCTAGGCCAAGGCACAGATAGTGGAGATGTAATAGCATGTGTGAGGAAAAGAGAGAAGGCCTGATTGTTTAGATTGAAGAACATAGGAAAGAGAATAATGTCCAATGAGACCTCTCCAAAGAAACATTGGGCCAAGTTTTATAGGCATTTTAAAACTAAACAGAATTTTTTTAGAGACAGTAGGAAGATACTAGAATTGTCTGAGCAAGAGAATCGTTAATTGTCAGATCTGCATTTAAGAAAAATTATTTTGGCAGCAGTGTGTAGGATGGAATGGAATGAGGAGAGACTTAATGTAGGGAGACCCATTAGGAGGCCTTTGAAATAATCTGGTTGAGAAGTGATGAGGGCTTAGACTAAAGTGGAAGCTATGTGAGTTCAGAGAAGGGGGTCAGATGTGAGATGGGTAACTAGCAATGGCAAAATTTAGTAGCTCATTGAATGTAGGTGGGTTAAGGAAGAGTTCGGAGTCCAAGATTATACTGAGATTGTAGACTTGGGAGACTGGAAAGATGGTGGTGCCTACAACAAAAATAGGAATGTTTAGAAGAAGGGAGAGCATAGAGAGAAAGCTAATGAGTTCAGTTTTGGACATGTTGAGTTTAAGATATCTCTGAGATACTCTCTTTGAAGTCACCTGTAGGCATTATGTTCTCTCAGGAGAGACTTGGACTTGAAATATTCATCTGGGAGTCATCTGCATTTAGATGATAGTTAAATCCATGGGAGCTGGTGAAGTTACCGAGAAAGATGTTGGAAGACATCTGTAGGAGACAGAGCCTTGAGGAAAACCCACAGATAGGGTCATCATATGGATAATAAGTCAGTGAGAAGCAGCCAATCAGAGAGATCAGAAGGGAACTAGAAGAGCGTAGTGTCATGAAAACACAGAAAGGTGAGAGTGTTCAGGATGGGAAGATCATTAATTGTGTCAAATGCAGCAGACAAGTCAAGAAGGAACACATATTCAAATCATTATGTAGTAACTGCCAAATAAATGCTCTGGCTGCTTTGAGAAAGAAGAAATCTCTTCTGGTTGGTGTAGAAGATTTCAAAGAGGAAACAGGTCATGGCTATTCAAATTCGCATAGGTATGGGGGGGGATTTTTTCTGAATGGGAAGAAAGGTGGAGGGAGAGAGTAGACAGAAGTATTTAGGAAACAGTGAGTATGTCTGGCTTGAGCTATGGGTTGATTTAGAAAAGTAGTTTTAGGTAAAATTGGAATCATGTGGCAGGCCTTAACTGCCACATTAAGGAGTTTGTACTTTATTCTGTAGGTAGTTATCAGCCTTTGAAGATTTTTGAACTGGAAAGGTGACATTATAAAAGCAAAATTTTTAAAAGATTAATTTGGTGTTGCTACACAGGGAGGATTAGAAACATGGAAGACGAGTCAGGAGAGACTTTATCTTATTGGTAATATTAAGGTATTCAAAGTTAATGTAGGAAGTAGCTTATTCTTCTACTATATAGGACATGGGATGTTATCTTGGGCAGTGGTGGAGTTTAATGTGCACTTTTTTAGTTGGCAAGAGCTAGGAGGAGAGGGAATAACTTTTGTTTTTTTCTGAATGTCTTAGAAAATGCACAAATGTAACAGTGGATATGCCTATTCAGTTCCATTGAACACATGCAAGGATATTCACAGTGAATGCCTGTCCAGTTTCGTTTGAGGTAGAGCCCTCAGCACTATATCTTTCCCCCCTTGATCTCACAGTGGCAGTCTGGCACAAAGGATGGTGCTGACAGCTGGCTAGAACATGAATTAGGTGAAAGTTTGTTTATATGTAACATTTAGGGAAGACTGTTTTTGTTTTAAATGTTTATGTAGACTTTTATCCATATAGCCAGTTTCATTCTAAAGTGGAGCTGTCAGTGAAATTCTCTTTGGATAATATAAGCTACTTTTGAGAATTAAATATTTGGTTGAGAAGAACGAGACACCTGCTGCTAAGTATTAAACAACATAAATAACTGAGGCAGCATATTATGATTAATGGAGTTAAGCATTTGGGGGACAGAATTAAAGATACTTTCTTGAATTACTTTTTTTTTTTTTGCCAGAACATTGAACCATTCCTTTGAAGAATAAATTTTAGAAAAGAAAATATTGCCTGGTATTTAAAAACTGCTGATGGTGGAATTTACATTTTTCCTATGCCTTACCCAGCAGGTGGAATCCAGCCTGTGGTTAGAAGGCTCGTTTGTCTCAGCATGTTTATATCTGAGGAGAGACAGCTAGGAGACAAGGCCATCGCAGTAACAGGGTGTCATAGCTTCCTCCTGCCTGGTGTCAGTCCTCCGACTTCACACCATTGCTCTCTGTTTTCAGGTTTACACTCTTTTGGAAACTGTGATAATAGAAATACTTGTTTTGGCCTTCAGAGCAACAGTAGCACCTTCTGAAATGTCACCTACTTACTTGGTGGCGTGCCTGTCATCCTGTCGACTGCACACTTTCAAGGTATGCAAGTCTGAGGTTCACTGGAAAACACAAAGCATCCCCATTGTGTCATGCAGTACAGAAGATGTGGCAGGATCACTTTGAATGGACTGTGCTTCTGTTACTTGTGCCTTAGAAAAATAAATTTCAAACTTGCTGGAGAAATTGTCCCATTTTAAGACAAAATAATTCACGTAACTGTTGAGGAATGGGTTTTGCATCTAATTGTATTAAGGGTGGCTGTGAATTATGTGTTATGGATGCTGTAAATCCCAATGGTAATAGTTCGTATTTATGTAATGCTTTAAGGGTTATAGAATCAGGAGTTTAGAGTAGGAAGGGACCCTAGAGGCCATCTAGTCCAAAGCCCTCATTTTTTAGATGAGGAAATGGGGCCCAGAGAGGTTAAATGATTCATCCAAGGTCATACAAGTAAGAAGTAGCAAAACTAGGAAAACAAATATGTACAAGAAAGACGTGCACAGGATAAATTGGAAGTCTTGATTAGTGCAAATAATTCTGTCTGAAGTGATCCCATTATTGGAATTCACATGGCATGTTTCTGTTGGTCTGGAAACAGTTAATATATTTTATATCATTCTGACTTCAAAAGGCATGAATTTGAATTCATGCAGCTACTTCAGGGGATTCATTGTTTGCTTTTGTTGAGACTTGGCTACAATCAACAGAAGGTAGGCACTAGCAAGCATGGGGGTAGGTGGGATGGAATCAGGAAAGACTTCTTGTGGAAAAATAGGTTTACATGGGACTTGAAGGAAGCCTAGAGGCCCAGATGGGGGGGGGGAGAATTCTAGGTATGGGAGGTGACAAGTCAAAATGCTTTGAGTCAAGAGATGGGGTATCTTGTGAGAAACAGCATGGACAATAGCACCATTGGATCACAGAGCAGATGTTGGGGTTGGGGGTAGAAGGTGTTAGAAGATTCGAGTAGGAGCAAGGAAGCTTATGATGGTCTTTGAACTCCAAATAGAGGATTTTATATTTGTTCCTGGAGATGCTAGGGACCCACTGAAGTTTGTTGAATGAGGATACTGGAGTGTAACGTAGTCAAACCTATAATTTAGGAAGATCAGTTTGATAGTTGAGTGGAGAATGGACTGGAATGGGGAGAGACTGGAGGCAGAGAGAACAGTCAGCAGGCTATTATAATAGTCCAGGTATGAATGATGAAAGCCTGCACCAGTGTCCTGAGGGATGAGGGGACATGTGTGGGATATGTTCAAAGGATTTGGCAACAGATTGAGTAAGAGGCGTGATGGAGAGGAATCAAAGATGGTGGATAGATTGCCAGTCTGATTGACTGGGAGGATGGTGGTGCCATCAATGGTAATAGAAGAAAAGATTGATGGGGAAAGATAACGAGTTCAGTTTTGGACAGGTTGAATTTAAGATATCTACAGGCGATCCAGTTTGTGATGTCCAATAGACAGTTAAAGATGTGAATCTGGAGATTTGGATAAAAGTTAGGACTGGATAAGTAGATTTTAGGATTGTCAACATGGATAGGATATTTGAATTCAAGGGAGCTGTTGAGATAATCCAGTGCAGTTGGATAGAGGGAGAAGAGAAAAGAGCTCAGGATAGAGCTGTGGGGACTCTCCCATGGGTAGTAGACATGATGTGGATGAAGATCCTGCAAAGGAGACAGAGTAGGAGTAGCCCTTCAAAGTAGGAGGAGTCTCCAGGTAACCAGGAGAGAACAATGTCAACAAAAACTTAGGGGAAAGGTATCATAGAGAAGAGGGTGATTGACAATGTCAGAGGATGCAGAGAGCTCAAGGAGGATGAACATTGAGAAAAGACCATTAGATTTGGCAAGTTAAATTCATTGGTAACTTTGTAGAGAACAATTTCAGTTGACTGGTGAGCTTGGGAAGCCAGTTTGTGAGAGTTAAAAAGAATGTGAGAGGAAAGGAAGTGAAGGAATTGATTGTACACAGACTTCTCCAGGAGTTTAACCTCAAAAGGGAGGAAAGAAAAGATATGATAGCTAGGGAGGGTGGATGGATAAAGTGAGGTCTATTTATTTATTTGTTTGTTTATTTATTTATTTATTTGAAGATGAGAACATAGGGATGTTTGTAGGCAGTAGGGAAGCAGACAATGAGAGAGTGGATACCATAGAAGGGGTAATCTGCTAGTTCCTTCCCTATGTTGATTATCTTCAATTAATCCTACACACACACACAACACACACACACACACACACACGTATGTCTTACTCGTAAATAGTTGGTTGCGTGTTATCTCTTCCGTTGGAATGTGAACTCCTTGAAAGCAAGGGTCTGTCTTACTGTTACTGTGTCCCCAGTGCTTAAGCCTGTGCCTGGTACATACTTGGTACCAGTACTTGACTGATTCCAAATCTGTTGTGCTTTCCATTAACCATACTACCTCTCAAGATTTGCCAAACACCTTTCTTCATAATGATCTTGTGAGGTAGGTATGGTAAGTATTTTTATCCCAGTTTTATAGATGAGGCAACCGAGGCTCTGAAAGTTTAAGTAACTTGCTCATTCTCAGACAGCTAGAAGATATATGAGATGGAATTCAAACCCAGGTCTTCTTATTCCAAGTCTATCCTTTTGGCCACACCCCTTTTTGAGACTGACAGTGATACCCTGGGCCAATAATTTTCTTTTCAATACCTCAGTTTCTTTAGTCGATTCACATGGAGAAACAATATAAAAATCATGGTGAAGCATTTGAGGTATGTCAAGTGCTACATGAATGTTTAATGGGGATAAAATTAACCTCCTGGACAGGGAGCCTGAAAGGTGCTGACAAGTTAAGAAATGTAGCAAAGACAAATGATTCTGATCTGTGGCCCGGAGGGCATTTTCCAGGAGACAAATGCAGTTTTTGTTCTATGTCTAAGTCTAGAACTGGGTTAGTCAAAGGTCTTTGTATATTCTGCTTATAGAGAACCATACTTTTGGAAGTGAAGTTAACTTTCCATGATGTTTTAGGCCACATAACATATGAGAGGAAGGCTGGATAAGCTCAGTTTTTCATCTTTGTTGGCCATGTAGATAGCCCCTGTTATTTTTGGGATATTAATTCTCTAGAAAGACATTATAGATTTCATGATTTTCTTTTCTGCTGCTACATTTATAACTTTATCACTGGGTGATGTTTTGCTCAGAGAACCTGGTGATTGTATGTACTGAAGGATATAAGACAGCTTGTGAAGCTTAAATTTAAAACGTCTTCCCCCAAATTAGTTTGCAGACTAGACATATTGGCAGCTAAGTCCTCTGTCCCCATCTCTTGGCCAACATTGATGCTTAAAACCATAGCTAAGAGGTGGCATGGGGGTTCCTTTAGCCCCAGCTCCCTAGAACAGGTGAGGTACAGTCTATAGGTTTTCATTTTGTTTTTGGTGCTAGACTATTTGATATGTTCCATTGCTTTGATATGAATGAACCTCAAAACGCTGATCTGATTCAGGAACCACAGGAACTCTCCTTGTCACCCCAGCTTTGATGGTGGGGACTGTAGCAGGCACTTTGTTTGCAGACAAGGGTTACCCTGAGAAAGCTACTCTGGCTGCAGTTGTTTTAGCAATTTCCAGAAAAGGCAGTTAGGTTGCAGTAAACTGATCCCTGTGTAGCAAGTCAGGAGACTTGAGTTTGAATCCGACCTTTTCTGCTCACTAGTTGTTTCAGGCTTCACATTCCTTATCTGTAAAATAACTCCAGATGTAATTTTCATGTCTAATTCAGCTGTGATTCTGAAATGTGTGGGCAGAGAGAGGCTAAGGGATAGCTTTTCCATTGACGTTTTGTTGTTGCCTTTAGGTATTCCTGCTTCTTCTGCTTACTTTCCAGACTAGGGGTTGTGGCAGAAGTTGAAGGCCTGGACTGTTGCTTTATTTTTGTCTTCATACCCATAGCGCCTAGTGCTCATCTTTGCCAGTAAGAAGGTTAATAAAATGCTTTTTGAACTGGAGAGTTTATTGAGATTTTAAGGAGTTTTCATTTCGAAAGCAAGGAAGCTTCCCTCAGGAAATATGTTTGACCTTTTGGTGCTAGATTTAGAACCCACATGAAGCTTTAAAGACCAGCTAGTTTCATCACCTCACTTTACAGATGAGAAAATTGAGGCCCAGAGAAGTTAAGTGACTTCCTAAGATCATACAGATAACAAATAAGCATCTTCTGTCTAGTTTACTCTCTGAGACTGTGGTCCTAGCTTTGGGCCAAGGAGTGTAGAATGCCTTTAATACGTAGTAAATGATAGAGGTTTATAGTGATGGTAGAAGCAGTGGGGGGGAGCATCATCACACCATCTTTTCAAAACACAGCCAGGAGACAGAGTAGAGGAAAAGTATTGTAGCTAGGAGAGTTTACCTGTCAGCAGCATAGCTGTTTGTTGACTCCTGTGTGAACATTTTATGGCAAATGTGTGGGCATTTTATGTTTCTGTATGTGCACGTGGGCATATGTGTGTGTGTGTGTGCGGTTTGGACCTGTAATGTTATTATTGTAGGGAGCTGCTGATGAGAAAACTCATGTTAAATGCAAATCTTCAGCTGTTCTGCAATGTAAAATCTTAGACTTTTTCTCCTTCCTCACCTCCAATCAGTTGCCAAGAATTGTCCATTCCACCCTCCACTATAAATCTCAAATCCTTTCCCTTGTATCCTCTCACATTACAATTGCCCTATTTTGGGTCCTCGCCTGGATGATTTTAACAGCTTCCCAGTTGATTTCCTTGCTTCCAGTCCATTGTCTACACAGTTGCTAAAATGATGTTTTTTAACTACAACCCTGCCAAGGAACTCTCATGGCCAGGAAGTTCTTGTGGCATGTGCTCGCTCGCTCTCTCTTTCTGTCTCTGTCTCTCTCTCTGTCTCTCTCTCTCCCCTTCTTCCCCCCTTGTCCCCCCCCTCTCTTCCTTCTGTAGAATAAGATACAAAAACTCATCAGTTTTCTTTTTAAAGCTCTCCACAATCCAATTCGAGCCTCCCCTTCCAGCCTTACTGCACACGACTGTCT